TGTATGCCTCGACTGAGGCCTCCTTTGGGCGGCGAGTATTGCAACGGGTGCTCCTTTCTTCAGTGGACCCTGGCCAGCCTAGCTCCTGCCCTGGATCTTAATTGGTTTGGCATGTCCCATGCTTGGATTCCCCAAGCAGCACACAGGAGAATGACCGTTGACTTACCTGAACGGTCCTTCTATGTGTGCTGCGAGGGGAATCCAAACCCACCCGCAGCTTCGGCTAGCCAGGGCTGTCTTATGACTCTGACTCGATGACTATTCCTTATCTGACTACTGACTTGACTTTACTCTGGACGTGACTTAAGACTTGTTTGGCTACGGCCATCATTGACATTGCTATACATCGTTAACCAGCTGACTTCGTACAAAACCGACCCATCCAGTCAGAGGAGGCGTGGTCAAAATTTGCATAACTCTAGGCTAATGGACAAAGTTAACCCATGCTTGGATTCCCCTTGCAGCACACATAGAAGGACCGTTCAGGTAAGTCAATGGTTGTTTTAAATAATTTGGGGGTGGTGGTGGACTGCTTAATAAAATTAGATATGATCAGGTGACCAAAAATAATTTCTCTTTCGAAACATCTTACCAACCGCTTTGTGGCAAGCAAGTGGGATTGTTAAACCAGGTTAGGAAGACTTCTGCCCCGACAGTTCCTCAGAATCCAAGGCCTCCTAGTGCTTATCCCTGCAAAGCAGAGTTGCGAAAGGGCTTCCACAAATTATGGGAGGAATTATTATTTTTTTGCATGGTGGATTAGAGATCCAGTCTCCCCTATTAATAGTGCTGTATCTGTATGCATTTCATTACCAAATTAACCCGTTTTCCTAGTTCACAAACACTGTACACTGAATCCTTAACTGTCAAATGCAGTCCTCAACTTACAACAGTTCATTTAGTGACTGTTCAAAGTTGCAACAACTTTGAAAACAAGCTACTTATGACCATTTATGACTGTTGCAACATCCCCATGGTCACATGGTTTACATTCAGAGGCTTGACAAGTGGTTCACATTTATGACAGTCACCGTGTCCCAGAGTCACGTGATTTTTCTCATAAGCAAAGTCTGTGGGGAAGCCAGATTCACTTAACAACCATGCTACTAATGTAAGAACTGCAAGGATTCATTTAACCTGTGTAGAAGGAAAGTCATAAAATGGGGCAAAACTAAAATAAATTTCTCACTTAGCAAACATAGATTTTGGGATCAATTGTGGTTGTAAGTCAAGACTATCTGTAGATTGGCACAAATTAAGAAAAAGAGTAAAACTAACGAAGCATCTTGTATGGAGCTGCTAAAACCTTTACCTGGCCCAGTTAAAGATATTATGCAAGAGAAATGGAAGCACAAGTTTGAGTCTAGTACCCTCCAGAAGGACTGCGGGGATGGCTGGGAGTCCTTCCCTCATGCCCCCCCCCCCCGCATGCTGGCTTTCAGACTGGGAAAGGCTGTTTTGTAATTAAAGCAGCTTTTCAGTTTATCAGGATAAAAGTATGTTTGTTGGAATACTTTGTACCAACCAGTATTGCCGCTTTCAGTCCTTATCCAGTGGCTGCATGTCATTCTGCAAGTTTTCATGTACTCACATGAAGACACAGGATATGGAGACACCCAAAACCCGAAACAATGAAGCAAACGTTCTGAAGAGCAGACAGTATTTTTTTCTCATTTTAGATCATGAGAAGTCATGAAACGGTTATGCTGCCTGACTCCCAACGACTCTGGGTGGCTCACAACAATCTGCTTGTTAACGGACGACACAGACCCAATAATTCGTGGCAGTGTTCTGTCTAGAAATATTGTAACTAGTATTTAGTAATCTACTTAGCATTTTTTTGTGATTTCTTAGGACCAAATGAAATTCAGAAGCAGGAAGTAAGGGTAGTAATTACTACTCTTCCTCCCTGCTTCTGAATTAGTTAAAAAAAAAGTAACAAATGGTCTAATTTGCAAGCATATTCTTATTCGGGAAGAAATTAAAGACCTTAAATGGCTACTTAAGGAATTTGATGGTATTCTATAGAACAGTGTTTTTCAACCTTGCCCACTTTAAACTGGGTGGGACTTCAATCCCCAGAATTCTGGGAGTTGAAATCCACCTACCTTAAAGTGGCTAAGATTGAAAAACACTTTTCTATAGCATTTAAATTATGATCATCCAATATTGTAATGTTTGTTTCTGGATTCCTATTATTAGTTTTATGGTTGCAATCAACTAGGTATAATTTTCATACATTATTTAAGCCATTTTTAAAACAGTCACAGATGTGCAAGATGCCACACACTTTCATCAATCTAAACGTAATTTAAGATTGTGAATTGGTTGTGAGAAGTATCTTCTTCCCAGTAACGGGACTCATTTGTGGCAAATCTTGCCTTACGTTGCGGAACAAAGAAACATCTGTATACTGGAATTATAAAATTTGCACTTTGTCCAGCATTATTCATGGAACTGGTTGGCGTTGATGTATGTGGAACTTTTCCATGCTAGAATGTCCCTGTTTCAGAAACCTCAAAGGCTTCCACGGTTCCACATTGGCTACATATTCCTGGGCATAAAATGTCCTTCTGAGAACATGGAACAATGGAGAGTGGTCCTCGGAAACCAACTTGAGGACCTTTGCAAACAGTATGCATCCCATTCTCACCACAAAATTGAAAGCATCACATTGATGTCTGCTAAGGACAGCAAGACAAATGTAGCTAGGTAGGAAATCTGTGTTTAAAAAATTGGCCTTCTGTATATAGCTTAAATTTTGGAGATCATCAGAATTGTTGAATAATATCGTTGTTGCATGCCGGTATAGTGAAAGAGTCATCTAGCACGATGTAAGAAATGTTTATTTGGCCCCAACATAACTGTTTCTCATGTAAGGTGTGGTGCACAATTGAAAGCACAACTTACTCTACTTGTAACAAGACGGGACCATGGCGTGTCTGTAGTGACAAATTGAATGTGGCATACATATCATTCCTTTCTCCTCACCTGGGTGGGGAAAATATGTTAGAGAGGTAGGGACATCTCAGTGTTTCCTAACCTTGGCAGCTGGAAGATGACTGGACTTCAACTCCCAGAATTCCCCAGCCAGCTTTCTTCCAGCAGTCAAGGTTAAGAAACACTGCAGTCTCCTATCTACCCCCTTCTCAACTTTGGGGAAATCTAATATAGCTGCACTCCCCCATCTGTCCATGACACATCAACACTTAAGGTACACAAAACAAGACTGAGAGTACCACCAAAGCTGCTTTAGCTCATTTTTTTTTTAAATGCCTGCCTTGTAATAATACTCCAGTATGAGCAAAAGAGGTTTGCCAGTCGCACTGCTTGCTTCCTACCCCAATAAAACAAGTATATCAGGACTTCCATGAGAACACTGATAAATGCATTAATATATTAAGAGAAAGAATATGGCTGGGTTGGTCATGGCTGATGGAGGAAGAGAGCTGATTTTACCTTTGTAGAAAGTTTAGAGTTGATTGTGTTTTTTATAGCAGAGTTGTAGATGAGTCTCTTGTTGGTTTAAAAAGAAAATCAAACATTTGAGGCAGAGGATTCACTTGAAGCTACCAGTTATTTCTCAAAAATACTTCCCACTTAATATATTGTAATTAGATTTCAATTCTTTCTCTGAGCTTTTAAGAGCGGCTTAAATAATAGTTACTTCCTATGGCAGGGAGGAAAGATTGTTCAGTGAAAGACTACATGTAGATAAGTAAAGGGTGGATTAATCTGGTCAAACTTTGCATGAGCCACCAGCAGCTACTGATTTGATTGCACTTTTGCAAAATACTTTTGCCAAGTCTTTTTGTTTTAATCATTAAGAGATGTTGTAAAATTGCACTAACCTTTAGTTTGGATATTACTGATTATTGATCTCGGGGGTGGCAGCAAATTGCACAGCCCTTTAGTCTATATTTTTAAATATTTTGTTCGCTATCTAGAGTAATTCCTTCCCGGCTTTTTCTTTGGTATTGTATAATTAAGATACAATTGTTTCATTGATGATATATCAAGGAGTGGATTTCCCCATTTGATTTTATTAATCAGAAACATACCGAATGGATTGCTTAAGTACAGTAGAGTGGAGCATAATCATTCCTAAGGATCCTCAGAATCTCTTGGTTGTATCATACCCTGCTGTTCATGTTGGGTCTGCTGAATGTTTTAATGGTTACATTCTCTCAGGTTCATTAACTGAAAAATGTATGTTCGTGATCATGTAGCAGTTTAAAGCATGGAAATATTTTACAATAAAAATGTTTTGTAGAATTACATTTGAATATTTAAATATGTCAAAATGTATTGTGTAATGCTGCATTTTTTAAATTCAAGTATCAGGAGTCTAGACTGGGTTACTATATTTCTCTTGTTTTGCATGATGTAATCTGCCATTATGATTTGGCTTATTTTTACTCAGGGTCTGTTAGTCACAGACTGAGTTTCCAATCAGGGGACATCTTGCCCAACCATCTCCAAGCTTGAGGGTTTAGCAGTCATGTCCCATACAACTAAAACATATTTTAAAAAGAAGTAAAGTGCGCTCTTAAAGAAATGGAAATAAATATCCTTAGGTCTGATAATGAACAGAAGAATGAAGGTTAACAGAACTAGAACAATACTGGATTTTTTTTAATGTAAATGATTTTGGTGTAGGGTACCAGCTGATTAGCAACCAGGAGGCAATTAATCAATTACTTTAGCCAAGCTAAAAATATTGTCCGGACACTGACCTATAATGGCTGATCTACAGCAATGATCTTTCTGAAATGCTTTGCTTTAAAATTGTGTACAAGTCACCTGTAGTGAAATGAAACATTAGTTTTGTCTTTAATTGTTCTCATTTTTATTATTAATTATACTGAATTTAAAATTCAATAAGATTTACTATCAAAAGAAAACTAGTTGACCTGTGGTATAAAAATCTGAGCAACCACCAGATGGCAGCAAAAGCAAAGCATTTTCTGTATCCCTTTGCTACCTTGGGATGGCTATTCAGAATTCTGCAACCCAGATCGGATGGGCATGCATTGCCTTTTCCATTAGTGCATATATTTGAGAGCAAGTGTGAGCAGTGTAATGTTTTGCACACACCCTCTTTTGAATTGTGCCTGCATTTTGTTTACACATCTTTATTAGTTACATAACTCCTATACAGCTTAAGGATGCAATCTACAAAAACTAAAGTTTTTGGATAACTTTAGATAACTTGGATAAAGTTATATCCAAAGACTGGCACAAATGGTTCAACAGTTTCTAGTGAAAAATCCATCTGTTCCAGGAAGAGGTCCAGTTGCAGTATAAAAATAATGAAAGATACAGACAACGGTGCCTTCACAGTTAGTTTATTTTACCGTTGCAATCAGCCAAATTGGCTACAAAGAATAAATAAAATAGAGGGCAGCAATTTGAATAACCCAACATTAGATGTCTGTGGTCTGATTGATTGCCCCATCATTATTGAAATGAAAACTAGACTTAAGATCAAGTATCTATCCATTTAAATAAAAAACTAGTGCAGGTCAACTATTTCCACCTTTGGACAAAAAAAAAACCCCCGAAGATGTTAAATATTCCCATAGATACCTCCACTTCAAATTATAAAATGTAGAAAAATGGTATAATATTTTACAGTAACAAAACACAAATGGGTTAAGTACTTCAGTCTGTTCCAAAATACTTCTGCCCAAAATGTGTAGGTGCGACTGGATGAACCTCTGTTGTCAAAATTGTGATATCTGGAAATTCCTGGATTATTGATTTGGCACCTAAAAAAAAGAAAACTGTAAGTTATATATGTAGTAGGTATGTTGATTTTCTACTTCTGGAATGTGCCCTTATCCAATTATAAGTTTAATCACAAGTTGGCATAAATTCCTCCTCCCCCTTTCCCAGTATTTTTTAATTCAACAGTTGCATTCTCTTTGGACATATAGTTAATTTCTATAGGAAAGCTTACATGTGACAGTTTCCACAGCTGTCAACAGGAAATTCAATGATACTTGTATAATACAAAAATGACACTCTGGAATATTCTTATTTGCATAAGAAAAAAAACTTAGATGTGTCCCCATAGGCACCAAACAAACACACAATTCTTTTCATTTAACCTGGCTTTTCTAACATGAAAGGATTTCACTACATAGGAATGTTGAAAATCTTTTCAAATGTTTAAGGATTATATTCATAATTATTCACTCCATCTCAATTTGTATCTACAATATTTTGAAGATGCTCATATCTGCCTTCTTTGGTACACCAAAGACAGTCTGTTTTTCAAAATCTTGCAGCAGAAGGGTTAAGATTATGTTTCTCCATGGAACAGATTGCTTGATCAAGTTCTCATTAGTTTTACATATTTGTGGGGTTGAAGATCTATGCTGCCACTTTTTAAAGAAATCATCTATACTGTTGTATGTAGCCTATATTAATTTCTCTATTCATTTCTAGCGTGTGTATGAATCTCCTTAGATAAAATGAGAGCTAAACTCTTTCCCACAAATACCCCGATTTCATGACTTGCTACTCATTTGCCTGAACTTACTTACCATGGGGGGTAGAGAATAGACTCAGCAGGATTATAACGTTGGGCTGAACCCCGTGTTCTATGAGAACCTTTACGGCCTCGATCACAGTGTTGCCAGTGCCTGATACATAGGGAGGGGGGGGAGTGGAAAGAGGGGAAAGAAAGCAGAGGTGAAATATCCAACTTTTCTTTTCAAACTTTATGTGTGTCAGAGTCATCTTTCCTTTCGGTATGATTACAACTGGAGTTAGAAACTAATTGTGGCACAATCTATTCCCAACTTTTTTTGAGAAACTTCTATGAAGCATTTGGCTGAAGAGAATAGTTCGGAACTTGGAAAGAAATAGTCAATTACCAAATATTTCATGAAGATTTAAAAACCTGTGGAATTCTACATAGTCATGCTATTGCTTAATTACATTAGCAAACTCCCATTATCCATTTTATATGAGTAGACACCTCTTACTCAACATGTGCAGACTAGGATCAATCTTTTGCCAGCTCAATTAGATCAAGGCCTAGACCTTCCAGCAGAGCATGAAACCTGTGTATTTTGCGTCTCACAACAAGCTAAGCCTGTCCTCACTGGCTTCTCTATGGTCCAACCGAGCACTCTGCAGCCCACACAGCTTCTAATACCGTCTTTAAAGCACTCACTCAGAATGGGGTACATGAGAAGGACTTTTCTTCTGTAGATGTCTGGTGGAAATTTTGCATAGTATACTTTGGCTCTCTGGGTCTCCTCGTCACTCTGGATCAGGATCTTCCCTATTCGTATAGATCGGCAGCAATCGCGCAAGCCCTGTTCCATGGCCTCCCCTTCATTGGGAGAGGAAAACAGGAAAACGTCATGTGGCAAAGAAGGGCAAGGGGATTACTCGCTTTAAAAACTGGTATCTGCAGTCTCAACTCGTCGAAATTCTATGCTGTTTTCCTAAATAGGGTTGACTATCTTACATAGGTGAGTCCTGGGCATTGTTTTTCAGTCTGCATTCTGGTGTCATTGATCACGTGGTACAATGATCAATAATAAGAAATATTAACAAGCACACAAGAAAATTTTAAGTGACCTACCACTTCTCATTATGCTGACCCCACAGTTTCCCTTTTCAAATTTCACTCCTTCATATTTGTACCCTGTTGAAAAGACATAAATATTATTTTATTTGTTATAAAGATTTTTTTATTCTTATAGGAATAAATAAGTTTCTCCAGGAGTTGATATCCTTCAAGTTATTCAGTAGTGAACCTAATAAATTCATTTCCCAGACAGCTTTTACTGCAATGACATGTTTAAATAAGAAAATAGGAGGTCTTACAAATTTGGAACTAACCAGCCACAGAAAGAAAGGACAATATTGCAATGGTTGACCTTCAGTGATGAGAAATAAAATTTAATTTAAGATGCACTTTCATTGCAAACGTTTACAGAGGTGTCTCTTTTCAAGTGTTGAAATTTCATTACCGTACAGTAGTCAATTAATAAATTTCCTTTTAAAAATTTAGTCCATACTTTCTTGGGAGGGATACACACAGAAAGAAAAACTCACTGAGTTGCTGTTGTTGAATAATTAGTTGTGTATGTCTTTCACATTCTGACTCCCAAGTCAGAAATCTGAGGAAAGAATCCAGTCACATCTGCAAAGAAGTACCAAAATAACTATGGAAGCTCCCTGACTGGTTTCCTGGAGCCTTCCCCAGCTTTCCAAGAGGTTTGCCCTGTGACTTCCAAAACTCCACCCTGCATGTAGGAACGAATCAGGAGGTCAATAAATCTATTTTAGGCTAAGGCATTGAGCAAGATTCCAGGCAAAATTAAGAGAGCAACTCATATTAGACTATTTATTTACAGACTCTACAGACAACTCTATTTATTTTCAGACTATTGTTCCAATCATATACTGTAGACTCTGGCTTGATAATGCAGCTGGTTCAGCTATTTCTGCCAGAATGAAAAACCAATTGATTGATGCAACAGTGCTTTTTATTTAGAAAACTAGTTTATGATTTTGAACATCTGAAGCTAATTAACACCTAGTCAACCACAGCAGAAACAAACAAACAAAAAACAAAACAAAACACATAGCCAATTTGAACCTGTATGAAAGACCTTTAGGAAATCCCAGGCTGAGAAATCAAAATATATTTAGAAAGATGGGTACAACTCCATGGTTTCTAAGAAAATTACATGGATATAGTCAGGAAAACTCCAGGAAGAATGTTCAGCCTAAAGGGGTTTTTAGCTTCACCTTTACCAGAGCTTTAGACTCTTGTTAATAAGATGACAAAATAAGAAATAATCTTATGGCTAGCTGAGCCTATCTGGAATCAGAAAATATAATGCTTTTGCTTACATAAAAGCTCTCAAACTATATTAGAAGGACATATTGATTCAAAATAGGTGAATTTATCATCTTGCTAGTTAATTATAGTTGCAACATTTCTCAGACCCACTTAAATCAAATCTAGAGTCAGATGCGCAATACCGCAAAGTTCCAATCAGCTGGAAACACAGCATCTCTCTCTCTCTCTGTCACATGTCCCCATTATAATCAATGCACATTGTTCTGTGTCTGACCTTTTGTTTTTTATACACTGAAGAGGAAGGGATTTAAAGAGAGGAAGCAGGAATACAATGAAACACACATTTAAAGCAATTCGCTGGCACTGGCAGCTACCAGCATGCTACACAAACAGCCTGATATATTTCCCATTGTGTGCCTGTTTCCTCTCTTTTTACCCCTTCCTTTCCATTCCCTTCCTTTCTGTTCTGCAAGGGGGGGAGGGGGGGGGGGGGAACCAAGCAATCTCTCCTGTGCCTGACCTGATCCCCCCATGCACAACAGAGAGATTGGAGAGGAAGGGATTACAAGAAAGGAACAATGGGGAATGCACTGGTTTGCCAAATGCACTCGGGCTACCAGTGCCCTCACATTCCTTTTGGTGTGCATTCTGCACAGTGACCTCCTCACTTTCATGTAATCCTTCCTCTTCACTGAGCGTCTTCCCTCCTTCTAGCACCAGGGTAAGCATTCCAAAGGGTGCGGTTGTTGAGAAAAGGAAAATACAGTTGCAGTCACAGGATTTCCCACTTAGTGACTGGTTAGCGAGAGTTACTGGTCCCAATTATGGTTGCTAAATGAGGATTACCTGCATTTGAATGACCAGTGCATTGATCTAATGATCAATCCTACAGTTTAAAAAATTAAAACATTCTTCTGTTTACTGGATGTTTATTTATATACCTAAAGATTTAGTTGCTTAATGTGTACAGCCTATAAAACAACTGGAATTCTCTTGCATGTAGATCGTTTACTGCAGAAACATGTTTCTGTATATATTATATATTTACATCAGAATGTTATTTAGTCTTTATAATTTTAAGGCAATTCACATATGTGATCTCTTTAGAAATCTACTAGTCCTATTTAATTTTTGATGTTCTTTGATCCTTGACAAAAAACAGACACGGATAACAATCTCCTGAGAATTTCATTTAACCTTGCTGCTAAAAAGTATTCCATGTTTTGTGTAATAATTTTATTTCTTTGCGCTAACTCTATATCTTATCCCTCTGTTATCTATCTCCTCCAGGCTTCGACTGAATATAGTTAGTCCTTGATAAGCAACAGTAAATGGCATCAGAAACTCAATCACTAAATGACATGGTCATAATGCACAACAGCACATGACTGCATCAATTTCTGATGGCAGTTCCAGTCATTAGGTGGTTTAAGGCCAATGTCACATGATCACCATTTGCAACCTCCTGCCAGTTTTACCACTGATTGCTTGTCTGAAACTTGTAATGAAGATTATAAATGGTGATCACGTGATTGTGGGATACTGGGACAGTCTGCGAGTCAATTGCCAAGCACCTGAGTTGCAATCACATGATTGGGGGAGCACTGCTCCCATGAGTCCTAGACATGTCTCCTCATTCAGCAGCATTGGAGCAAATGTTTATTAACCTTTATATAACTTGCCTGGGACACTCCCACGCCTTGGGAGCTTCTACCTTCTCTTACCTGTTGGAGTGGTCACTGTGCATTCTGTGTATGGTAGTCGATTTAATCCCTCTTCAACTACCAGTCTGATCTGCAAGAGATCACAACAAAATCAAAGTTCCAATAAAAGTGAGAAACACTTTTATTGTAAGCAAATTTGGCTTCCTGCCTTGCCTAAAATAAGCTTTGCTGGCCACGTGACCATGGAGACGTCTTTAGACAGCGCTGGCTCTTCGGCTTTGAAACAGAGATGAGCAATGCCCCCTAGAGTCGGGAACAACTAACATATAATAAGTGCGAGGGGAATCTTTACCTTTACCTTAGCCCTCCACTTACTACCAATTGTTTAAGGACCATTACAAAAGCTCAGAAAGGCTGTTTTATGGCCATTAAGGACTTCTGGCCATCATAAAGTATTGCCTCTGCCTCCCCCCGCAGTCGCAATCACGTGACTGGATCTTGGACATTTGGCAACTGACTCGCAATTATGATTGGTTGCCAAGTGCCACATGATCACAGGGGTCATTTCCATTGAAACCGATATCTTCTAGGAATGGTGTTTGATCGTTTTAACCCAGGAAAGTAAAGCCAAAAGGTCTTAAAACTAAAACTATGACTGAGTTTACGAGGCATGCCCAGTCTGGCCCTTTGCACAGAAAAAGTAGGAAAGACGCACTATATTTTTGCTTTTGGAATTGAGGGTGGCTTACACAGCTGTGGGAAAGTAAGGCCAGCTCTTCATTCTCTATCCCCCCCCCCCGCTTCTTCTTTCACCAGGAAGCCGGCTGCAGTCCTCCAGCCGCACCCAGGAAATTGGGGAAAGGAGCATTTTAAGACACTGCAGCTGAGTGGCTGCCTTTAACTTTTTCTTCCTGGTAAATGGCCAGGTGGAGCCACCTCGTAGAAGGAAGAAAACAGGGAAAGCCAATTGGTATGGGGCAGGGCAGGGCAATGAGGGCTGGAGCTTCCCAGGCATTCCCCACTCTTTGAGTCTCCTGGCCTTTGGAGTCAGCTGTAGCCAGCTGCTTTGCACCCTGCTGTGAAGGTTTCCCATATGTTTGGCCCTGGTGGGGTGGTTGCTTCATGCGGCACCACTGGAACCTCCCTGGCATTTAAGGGCATAGATGGGTGGAGGGGGGGGGAGATAGGCAGGTAAGAGGAGTTGTGGCCAGTTCTAAGTGTGAGTGGGCTGCTGAACACCTGAGCTTTGATCAGACCACAGAGGGTCTGCAACAGCTGTAACTTTGGGTACAGGTCACAAGTCCCTTCGTTCACCACCTTGTAATTTCAGTCGTTGAATGGTCATAAACCGAGGCCTAACTGCATAGGACAGCCACAATGGTGGATAAACAGAAGATCTTGGAGGACTCTCTGCTTATCTATTGGCATTACTGCTGAACCAATACAAACAACAGAATTTAGTTATTCTATTCTTTGATTTAAAATATTTCTAAAGGCAATAAAACAAGATTTCCAAGACATGTTTGAATGATGACTTTTAGCACTTTCAATTATATACATACAGGGAACTATCTCCATGAATCAACTAGTGCTATTTATCAAATGGAGGAAAATATACAGATTCCATGTAAATAGGTATTTCCAAGAAAACTAGTATTGGAAAATACAGTAATAACTGTCCAATAGTTTAAGACTGGTTATATTAAGTAAAAATACCAACTGATTCAGAATCCGCTATGTAATCCTGAATATATAGCCTAAAGATTTATGTTTGAATTTTTATGTGGAAATATTTTACTTGGTAAAACAAGCAAATATATCTTTCCGCTGGGGAAAAAATTCTATTTTTAAAAAATAGTATTTAAGTTTCAATTCTAATGTTACATTAAGAACTCTCACTGAACTTTGATGGAATTACAACATGAAAACAAGGAGCAGAGCTGCTCATGTGGAAGGGCCCTGGGTTGGAGGTTGGCAAGCCCACGTACGGGACCCAAGTGCTGCTGTGTGGCGAGGTGAGTTCCCCTCATTCAGTCCAGCTCCTTGATGGGGACATCAAAGGAGCCCCCACGGGTGTCCCCTGGGCAGCAGTGATTTCACCAGCTAATACTTTCAACCCGGAAGCACCCTAAGCCATACCTCTGACATAAATGGGAAACGGGACAATATGAAAGCACAATGTAACTAGACTATTAATTAATTAAACTAGACTGATTTTTATTATGGTAATAATACTGTCGTTAATGAACATGACATAGTGCATGAATAATATGGCTTACCAAACGATCAGCAGAAAATACGAAGTCACCTCTACTGGCTGTCCTGAACAAAAAAGCAGCAAGAAATCAGTTTTATTAGGGATTCAACTTTGGTTTGAATCACTTTGTTAGTTATCTCAGAATATTGAGTATAATTAAATGTGACACAAGCAACATGCATTCATTTTATCTATTATTTTATGAGAGAATGTCTAGACTTTATATTTACATCCGAGATCATCACCAAGGCCCATCAACATTAATCATTATAGCAGCCACCAATACAGCCAGAGAAAAACGCCACCAGAAAGATCTACTGAAGCCACCCTGCTGTGGAATCCGTGGGACTTTTTGTTTATTTCTTTGGGTGACAATAAGGAGACAGGATTATCTGTAAGCACATGAGCAAAACTCTACATTTATGTTAAGCCCCATCAAAAAGCTCAAAAATGAGCAGCATAGTAAGTTTAATAAAGAAAACAAAATGGATCTTGCATTTCTCAGAGCTCAGAAACATTCTATACCCCTGCATTTTATTGAAATTAGCTTCTTTTAGTGCTTCTAGTCAGATTTAAAAGAACCTGACAAAAACATGTTATCATTTATCTTTTTAAAGCCTTTATTCATTATTTTAAGATATGAAAAAAGTTTGCAACAAACAAGCTGTGGGCCATTCTCAAATAGCAAATCACCTTTACCTGTTACCAGTTGTACATGCAGAATAGAATAGAACAGAACAGAATAGGGGAGTAGAGTGGAAAGTGGCCATAGCAGAGTATTCTTCATTGGCCTAGTATGATTGGACACATACAAGAAATTTGTCTCCAGTGTATAAGCTCTCAGCGTAGATACAAACAACAAGTGATAACTGTAAAGTACAATCTTCATAAGATGCAACACTCAGTGATAGTCTTGGATACTAAATAAGCAATCAACATAAATCATAATATGATACTCATCAAAAACGATCAACATAAATCACAAGATATAACAACAAAGTTATAGTCATAAGAACGTAAGGAAATATGTAATAGAAAAGATGAGAAGGATAGTAGTAATACTGCCCTACCAGGTGGTTTAACATATAGCTAATCTGGTTCCCTATGGAGCAGGCTTTCCCTTGTCTTACATCCTCATAACTCCACAGATTTCAAAGCCTTGTTAACATTCTCAACCTTCGATGAAGTTGCAGCTGTAGGTGGCAATAGCAGCAAGCTCAGACACAGAAAGAACACTGGTCTTACCTGAACGTGTTTTTTCAGGGGAAGAGAGGGAGGGGGTCACGTGTGGGTATTCTCAAAGCCTGATTGGTCCAAAGACTGAGAGCAAACTTCCTCTTTTTTCTTTTCTTTTCTTTTAAATGTTTTTATTTTCCATTTTTCATTTTCATACAGTCACATATATACTGTGCATAACCA